CGCCTCTTTGCTGCCTGCACGGCAGGAACGCGGAGTGCCCAGACAAGGCTCACGACTCGTGCACACGTGCCCCTAGCTGGTACCCTAGTCGGTACCCTAGTCGGCGTCGTAGTGGCAGAAGCGACTAATCGGGGCGATCGCCCCGGGCCCCGCGCTTGGGGGGGGGGGGCGCTTCGACGTCACGGTGTCCGATGTCATACTGCTGGTTTAGTTTGAAGGCGTCGGGGGGGGGGGGGCCCACGCGGTGTGGTTTGCCCCGGGCCTCGCACCCCCCCCAAAGGAGGGCCCTGAGTTGGCCTCGGTGTCCAACCACCCAGAGCCCCACCGCTAGCCCCCCCCACCACCACACTCACCCCCCCCCCAACTACCCCTCCCCTCCATCCACTGGGGGTAGTTCCTCGCTTCTTGGGGGGTGGCGGGGGAGGGGCCTCTCTAAAAACTGCACCTGCGTGGGGGGGGGGGACACCCCCCACCTGCTGGAGAGGACCCCCCGCCACGCACACCTGTCGAGTGGCGTCACGGAATCCATGGCAACCACCGTCATGGTGACTCTGCCTCTCCCCCCCGCCTCCCCCGCGCCCTCCCACGTGTGTGCAGCGAGGAGAAGAGTGGGGGGGGGGGGCACGAGAGCTGCACTTGCAGCGAGAAGCGTGCTTCCCCTACTGCTGCTGCGGTAGCGTCTTTGTTCATTTGGACCCACAGGTAAACAAACGTTGGGCAATAATTGCTCATTTTTCCAATGGGGGACTTAGTTACGCAAGGGAGACTTGTTGCCGCAAACTAAACATGAGCAATACAGTTTTTTTTGTAAATAACATTTGTTTTACATGGTCAAGTTCTGAATGGAAAAAAGGTCGTGCATCAACATGGGATAACCAGCATGAGAAAAAAAATAACAAATATAATTCGGTGCTCTGGCTCATGCTTCTGATGTTGCTGTTGCCGATGCTGATGTTCTCAACTATATACGGGGCTCACAGGGGCGAAGTGCAGTAGCCGAACATCGATCACCGTACTGCACTGATGAGTTCCAGGAAGGATGAAACTGGTTTGTTGTTGGGTTTGGGACGGCTACGTATCCTCAACACCTTTGAGTGGGTGGCTCTAAACGACGTCAGAGCCACACGTTCAGTTGTTATGAGCTGTTGGGCTGTACTACGTCACACTAAAGTCACATTTATCATGGAGTATGGATATTACAGAGTAATTGTTTTTTTTATCAAGCATACAAATGTACTCGGATCATCTCAAAAGCCTTGGAGGCTCAAATAGGCTTTCCTAAAACAATAATAATACATTTGCACGGCCCTTGGTTAATCATAATCGGAATTATCATCCTTTGGTGTTACAATTCTGTAGCAGCAGCATCATCATCGTCATCATAAAGATCAGCAGCAGTAGCAAGCGTCATCATTAGCATATTCATAATTAAACTAAATCGGCATCATCACAAACAGCAGCAGCATCAGTATCTTAACTCCCAGCATTGAGCACAGTCACAAAGCCAAGCAAGTCTAGGCTGGATTAATCTATCTGTGATAAATACCGCGGTATATATTAATAACATTAATAATACATTAAATTAAAGGCTATTGTTTATGCACTGCTGGATGAAGGCCTCCTCCACACCCGTGTCATCCATGGGGATTGTTTGACCAGACTTCACCACGTTTCTCTGTGCTGGTTGGTGAAGGCGGTGTAGGGTTTGTTGGGCGGTCACGACCGGGTTCATATCGCATCCCGCCAGTCACTGACGTTAGCCGTGGCAGGGACTCGAACCCTGGCTGAATCAGGTTCGTAGCGCAGCAGCGCGCTAACCACTGCGCCACCGCTCCAACCCTCGCTGTTGTAAACACGCCGTCATTACTGTACTGTCTCCACAGTTATAAATGACTCAAAATGCGTGAACGATGCAATATTTATATTTCCATTATATAACGATGATTGTTTTATTGTGATGATTATTTAATGCCCAATTGTGCCTTTGGAGGCGAGGGCACGCGAGCTGAATGAAACATTAACTCGCCCACAACACACACGACGCAAGCACACACACACACACCTGTACAATTATTAGACAAAGGCTGATTTATTGTGTTACTATTGTTGCTGTTATGTCCTTGCAACGAGCGCTCGGCGTGGATTGTTCACTCGTGTGCGCGCGTTTTCTTTGAGTGTATAGAACTCGTGTGCTGGTGGAGAGCGGTGGCGCAGTGGTTAGTGCACTGCGATACGAACCTGGCGACCCCGGCTTCGCTTCCCGCCGTCAACCATCATCGGAGACAAGATCCGAACCGGTTCTGGGCCTCCGCTATAGGTCGACTCGGCCTCAAATAAGTACCTGGCGCGGGGGGAAGGGGGGTGTGGTTCTGACCACACCATCCGCTTGTGTGCCGTGCTGGACATCACGGGTGCTCGTGAACAGCACTTTCCCCAACAGTCTGTTAAGGCTATGCGGGGCGAGAAGTCGGAGGATTTGTCTGTGGAAGTATTGCATGTAAACATTAGCACTGGGGATACAAAGGCGGCTGGTTGGCTAGTTGAAGGTTCGGGTGAGGAATGGTACTCGTGGCTTCTTGGCTAGTGGCATGACTCACCAGTGTCCAACACACGGGACACATGAACACGTTGGCACGTGCCGTGTAAAAGTCCACGTGTTCCATTATTCCATGGAGCGACCTTAATTATATTACGACCCTGATGGTCATCCTCCCCCCCCCCCCCTTATCCCGTCTCCCCTTTGCTTTTTATTTAATTGATGAGTCCGGGTCATTTAAGAACGTGGTTCATTCTCAGGTTCCTCTCTCTCTCTTTAATGCCAGAAGACGTGCCCGGTGTCGCTCGGACATTGCCCGGGAGGGGGTTGGGGGGGGGTGTTATAAAGTCTAGCCCCGTCAGTCGCCTCCCTGTCAATCTTCTAGCGCTACTACCCCCACGGTCACCGCTCTCCCGTCCCGACTCCACCAACGTTGCGAGGACTCAATCATCACGCAGGATACTGGGCGGTGAGAGAGAGAGAGCACACGGTTGGCCATGTGCGGTGGGAAAGAAATTCAACGGGCATACGCACGCAGGAGGGAGAGACGCGAGTGTTAATGTTACCGGAGATCGTGACCTCCCCCTCCCCCCCCCCCCCGGGTTCCCCTTCATTTTCAAATCCTCGCGTCCACATTTCACGTGGAGTCGTGCCGAGGTTAGCGGCTGCTACCGTCAGCGTTGGAGTGCCAGCTTGTCCGGACAGTCCCGGATCCGACACCCGTGTTCTATCGGACGACGGCAGAAATTGGATCGTACCAATACCTGGTGATCGGTGTTGCTTTGTTGAACTTTATCGCAGTAAACTCCACAGATCTGCTAACACAATAGATTCGACCTAGAGTGCCGACCGAGACATGTTTGCAGATTTTTGGTATCCGTGTGTGAAAAAGCGGCAGCCTGCCACCGACTCATTTCATGCACAAATTCATTCGCAGAGTCACTCGTACACCGATTCATTCACTCATTCATTTGTCAGGTCACTCAGGAACTCGCCCACCAAGGTTGCCACCGGTCTGGGAACTTCTGCATCCGTGTCGGGCAGCAGCAGCAGTTCATTTCTTCCGAGACCAGGTAGCGGCGGTTGTGCTGCGCTCAAACTTGATCGCAGCACAGCTTTAAGTGAGATGAGACGTGGTCGCTGACTTTTGACAGGACCTGGTGCCGGACTGAGCGATGTGTCCCGGGGGGGGCGGGGAGGGGGAGTTGGTCTCGTGTGGAAAGGTGGCAGCCCGACGTCAGCGATTGACTGCCGCGATCACAGATGGGGGCGAGGGGGGAGCGAGGGGTGGAGCGAGGGGGGAGCGAGGGGAGTAACCCCCCACCCCTGCCCCTCCCCCCGTGACTGTGTTGGTATCACGACGCCTTCGTCAAGGATTGGAACCCGGCTCCACAACGTTTGATATTGAACAAATATGGGGAAAATCCACATTTAGGAATGCGGGTTGGTGTGTGAAGAAGATGCTCTCAGGGTATGGAGCGTAGTCGTAGTAGTAGTCAATTAGACGTTCGCACTCCTAGCCTGAGCCAGAGACAACTGGCTCTACAACCTCTAACCACACTTGCCAACCAGCCCTAAACCACTTCCCCTAACTACCAACCAGTCAGCCCTTAGTCCTAACCCTCACTAACCAACTAACTCCCTAACCACACCGACCAGGCAGCTCCTCGCACAAGCCTCATCCCTAAAACATGATAATATGTTTTTTTGTGGGTTAGATCGTAAAAATATAAAATGTGTCGTGAAACCCACCACCACCCGACGCAGCCAATGAGTAAGGTTTTTTCACGTAAACAGAACGTGGCAATTAGTTACTAAAGCACATCATGTGTGTTGAGAGAGTAAACCCACAACGTTTATAATTCAAGAACAACGTTTCCGCTGGCGATTACAACCAGCTTCATCAGGCGATAGCCAGAATTGTGAAGAAGCCCTCCCTGTTTCGGTCTCAAATGAGTGGCGGGTTTAACGGACACATTCACGTTCACGCGATGCAACCCAAAACAACAAACCCTTCATTGTTGATAACGCTGGTCGCAAGAGACCACGCGTTGAAAACAAATCATGGCGAGCCCCACCCATAGCGAACGTTCAAAAGCAGGCTTCAGTCCTCACCTGGCCAACCCAGACGCGAGCATTCACACAGACTCAGAGCCCCCCCTTGCCCCGCCCTCCCCCTCGCCCCCCCCCTCCACACTGCCCCCCCCTCGCCCCCCCCTCCACATTGCCCCCCTCCCAATACTACCCCCCTTCGCCCCCCCTCCACACTGCCCCCCCCTCGCCCCCCCCTCCACATTGCCCCCTCTCGCCCCCCCTCTCCACACTGCCCCCCCTCGCCCCCCGCTCAATGTTAACTCTCTCACTCTCCACCATTAAGGCGGGGGGGGGGGGGGGCAAACGTCATCAAACGTTCACGCGTAACTTTCAGTCCACCCAGGTCACAGAGCAGACGGTCTCCCGGGGATTCATGCCGGCTTCGTGGTGAAGTACTGTATTGCACAGATACAGTCTATACATATACTGCAATTAAGTGGGGGGGGGGGGGGGGGGGTCTCTCTATAGGGGAGGCACATGGTCTTGACGAGTCGAATAGCAAACCAGAAACGCGACCGGTTGTATAGGGCACTTATCTCGTAGCGTTATGCAAGATATCATCATCACCACTATTGCCGTATTGCTGTTGTCACCGTAGGACGTACAAAATAAAATAACTATTAGGGAAAAGCACAGAAAATTTACACCGGGGTTTCCAGCCTTCAGTCCTGCGCGACCCCACCACGCCCCCCTCCCCCCCTCCAATCGTCGTCTTGTTCCAATACAGATCTCGTTGTCGCTACGCGCGCCCGATGATTGCTCAACAGCAGCGCATGCAACGCGCGACGGCTTTGTAACAATCAGCGTTCGCTTGCGTCACGCCACACACACACACGCCCGCATTACAGACAAAGGTCACCCGTATAACAGCAAGTGCTGTTAGCGAGACGCCCATTAAGGCCGGTTGGCCAACAACACCACGCCCGGCCGTCTTTGTGTCCCCAATGCCCATGAATGTTTAACACACCAAAGAAATGCAGCAGCAGCAGCAAACATCGGTTCCGTAGGAGATTGGGTAACCAGGCGGCTCTCAAGGCTGTACCTGCGGTGGGGTCGCGAACAAAAACAACAACAACCAGGAGGAGTCTGCGAATCGCTGCTGCCTGGTCGACTTGCAGTACGGAATCTATGATAAGACAATTAGACGCACGTGGCAGCACACGGTTAATTAAACACCGCCTAACATCATCACCACCAGGCCGCGCGCCTCCGAGTGCTACACACAAACGACAACTGAACCCCCCCCCTCCCCCCACTAGCCCCGACCCTAACCCGGACCCTAACCCGGAGACTACCCTTGACCCTGCAAAGGGGGGGGGGGCGGGGCACTTAAAAAACCACACAAACTCAAACTTGTATCCCTACCGACCCTCAAGAGCTGAGGTGTGTTGGGTTTCAGGCGAGTGCACAGGTGAGCGCGTGCAGGCGAGTTCTGCGACCGTGCTCAATCATCGAGGCTTCTTGTGCGCGATTAGTGCAGAGCCTCCAACTTTCAAAACTTAGCTTGGGGAGGGGCGGGGGGCGGGGGGGGGAGAGAAGTGGTGGAGTTGGTTGTTTGGGGGGGCGGGGGGCGGGGGACGAGGCTGTTTGGTTATATTAAAAATAAAATTGCGCCGTCGGCGTGGCGTCGCGAGACGACGCATCCATTGGGAAATCTCGCGGGGGCGGCGTCGCGTCCGGCGCCCACCGCGTGCCAGCGGAAGGCCACGATGTCACAAACAACAATTCAAGAGGAGGCCTCTAAATCAGCACGCCCTGGGGGGGGGGGGGGCGGAGCGCGGGGGGCACCTTGCACACGCGTGAGCGTTAAGCCACATGGCAAAGTCAAACCGATTTTTCGTTTCGGGGAGCTGGAATTTAGCCACATTTCGGTGAGACCCCGAATTAAAATTGTCACCGTTTTTGTTGTTGTTGTTGTTGTTATTTATTTGTGTGCGTGCGGTCGGCGGAGGGATCGCGTCGGCATCGCGGCTGCTGCGCGACGGAAACCCGGATCCGAACTCAGGTTCTCAGCGCTGTCGGCGCGGCATCTCTGACACGGCCATTAAACACCTCGGCACCCTCCCACCCGACAGTCGCCCCCCCCCCCCCCCGACCCCCCCACCCACCCCCACTTTACACACAACCCTGTGCCACACCGGGCACCTCTAGGATTAGGGTTGTTATTGCTCAGTAACATTCGCGCGCGTGTACGCGCGTGCGTAAAACCGCTGTTGTCAATGCGTGTGCATCGATGTATTTATTATTAGGCATGTGCTAGGAAGTGTGTAGCTTTGCACGTAGATAAACAGCCGTGCGCATTGATGCGGTGCGTGTCGGGTAGGCGATGTGGTATGCGTGTGTGTGGTATGTGGTCGTGGTCGATAGTGCGGTGTGGTGTGGTAGGTGGTACGGTGGATAGCGAGGTGCGGGTGGTGGCTGTTGCGGTGCCGTTGACGCAGGGCGGTTGGACTCGACGCTGCTCACTTGGTCATCATCATCGTGATGAACTCTAGAATGGACACGCAAACACCGGAAACACGACACACGCACCGCACACAGACACACGCACGTGTTGCGATCGTACGCAGAACAGCGACGCGGGCTGCTGGGAGGCAAGTGCTGTTAGAGAGCACCTAATAAAAGGCGGGGATGGCACACGAGGGGGGTGATGGGACCACATCCACACACGGCCGCCTTTGTCTCCCCATTGCCAATGTTTAATGCTCACACTCATAGCTCACCCCGTGACCACGGTTACTCTCGCAGTTGACCCTTTTGTTTGACCCCCATGACCCCGCTCACCCCCGTAGCTGACCGTGACCCCATTCACCCTTGTAGTTGACCACATTCACCCCTCATTCTTGACCCCGCTCACCCTCGTAGTTGACCTGGCCATCCCCGTCAATGTCGGCCTCTCGGATCATCTCGTCCACCTCCTCGTCAGTCAGCTTCTCCCCAAGGTTGGTCATCACGTGACGCAGCTCCGCCGCACTGATGTAGCCGTTCCCGTCCTGACCACCACAGCAAAGACAGAGACCCCTCCCTTGAGCAGGCTGTTGGGGCAAGTGCTGTTAGCACCTATGAAGGCCAGCACCTGTGGCACACGAAGGGGTGGGTGGCCAGCACCACGCCCGGCCGCCTTTGTCTCCCAAGTGGCGATGTTTACACATGGCGCCAGGTACTCAGTCGAGGCCGAGTCTACCTAGGGCAGGCCCAGGACAAGTTCAGATAATCGTCACCTGGTGTTGGCCCCGAGCAGGAATTGAACCCTGGTTTGCCGGGTTCGTAGCGCAACACGCCAACCACCTCTACACTACCACCACACAACCACGACCATCACCAACAACTATAAAATCAATGAAACTTTGTTTAACATCGCACCCCCTTCACAATAAAATTGACACAGGGCGCTTTCACAAAGGGAATGTAATATTGCACCAATAAAAGTTACACGCAACAATAAGTATGCACACGAGTTCAAAATGTATGCAAGGAGACTATGAAACACATCTTTAGAATGATTTTAAAAACAGCACCACCTTCCTTAGAGTGGACCGGCAGTGCAAGGGAAGAAGCAGAGAGAGAGAAGCGAGGCGACCTGCAGCGTGGTGAGCGGGTGGGTGAGCGGGTGGGTGAGTGGGTGGGTGAGCGGGTGGGTGAGCGGGCGGGTGAGCGGGTGGGCGAGCGGGTGGGCGAGCGAGCGGGCGAGCGGGCGGGCGAGACCTGCAGTGCAGTGGTTGAACAGTGTGGCTCAGCCGAAATAGACTGGTAGACTGTGTCCTCAACATGGGTGGTGACATTTGAGAGACGATCAAGGGAGATGGAAAATGATGATAATGGGAGATAAGAGACGACCTCCGATTAGCACGGTTGGCTACGAGTGGCGTGAAAGCAGTTCAAAGTACACACACGACGATGACAATGACAATAATGAAGAATTTTGATGAGACAATGACTATTACGAGATGATGACGGATTGTGGGAGATGGGCATAAAAGACGAGGCTGAGAGACGACGATGATGGCAAGGAGGTGCACGTGCTCGTTCACCTTGTCGAAGACGCGGAAGGCCTCTCGGATCTCCTCCTCGCTGTCCGTGTCCTTCATCTTGCGCGCCATCATGGTAAGGAACTCTGGGAAGTCGATCGTTCCGTTGCCTGAGTGGACGGAGAAGCGAAGCGAGTTTACAGCGAGGTTGGAATTACTTTTCGTGACACGGACTTCACAGCGAGAAATCGACGTAGCCATCGTGTGCCCAAACAAGAAAGCTTTCAATCGGTGCACAATTTCTGGGGTCCCACCGATGGATCTGGCACACGAATGTTGACAGAGAAAATGGAACAATAGCCGACACAAAATGGAACAATAGCCGAAAAAGGTGCGCAGAGAAGCACGGCACCACGCCTCCTTGGAAATTACACCGACAGCGTGAAAAGTGGAAAGACGCGGACTAATTAGCGGACACACGCCAGAGTTGTAAAGACTTCGCGGCAACGAACGCTCACGAACGCGAGGCACTTTTCCGGGTAGGACTCGTCAATAGGGGGGGGGAGGGGGCTGGGGGGGGGCGGTTATGGCCGGCGGTTCGAGCCCTCACTTACAGAGAACAGCAAAAAAATGCGGACCGCATGCGGCAACAACACGGCTCCCCACAGGCGGGCAAAACCACGGCTCGGCATCCAGCAGCGGGCAGAGCACGGGCGGGAGGGGAGGAAGCCGTCTTACCGTCGGCGTCCACCTCGTTGATCATATCCTGCAGCTCGGCCTCCGTGGGGTTCTGGCCCAGGGACCTCATGACGGTGCCCAGCTCCTTGGTGGTGATGGTGCCGTCTCCATCCTTGTCAAAGAGCGAGAACGCCTCCTTGAACTCTGCGCGGCAGTCCGAGGAGGTGGGGGGGGGGGGGGTGGGGTTGGGGGGGCGAGTCGAGGGTTGCATTTGTCTCGCTTAAACCAGGCGAGAACTCGAGAGAGATGGAGAGAACGGGTGGCCAGCAAACGGCGAAAAGCAATAATGCAACAACAAAAAAAGGCAAAGTACAACGTCGAAGCAAACTAGAAAATTGGGGCAAAACCAACAGAATAGAAAATCTGGGGGCAACAAGAAGGGGGAGGAAGTAAGAAGAAGAAGTGGGAGGAGGGATAGAGGACTGAGAATGGGGGGGGGGGCAGGTAGGGAGGTGCAGCTGGAGGAAGGGAGGAAGACGAGGGGGAGAGGGAGGTGCATCGACGCAACAGGGGATCTATCGGATTGGGGGGGGGGGGGGTGTTGAGAAGGGGTGAGTGTCCGATCTCCCCCCCCCCATCCCCGCCCCCAACAAGTTTCCACTTCACCTGCACTGCTCACGTCGACAACTCAAGAGGGGAATCCTCCACCCCTCCAGGGGGCCTTGTGCCACGCGGAATTTTGCACTGGCGTGCGTTTTTATTTCAGGCCCTCCCCCTCCCTAGCCTGCGCACTCGGCAGCAAGCCAGCCCTGAACCCCCCCCCCCCCCAGCCCTTAACCCCCCCCCCCAGGCCTAAGCCCAACCGTGCCACTGCCCCCCACGCCCGGGGGGGGGGGGGTCCTGGCCCCTATCCGGGGTCAACCCAGAGACACAGCTCATGAAGCTGCCGTCTGTGTTTAGGTGGCAGCGGGAGTTGATTTGTTCCGAGATCTCGTACCGGTGTCGCTGCGTTGAACGTCCACCACAGCGCCGATAACAGACCTCGTCGGTCAGATAGGAAATCTGTACCGGGCTTGGGTCTACAGGTGGGGGTGTGGGGAAGTGGCGTCCCGACTTCCCTCCCAGCCCCCTAAGCCCTGAGACCCCGAGACCAGCCCCTATATGCGAGTGTGACCCTCCCCCCCCCCCGAGCCAGGCGTGGTGATGTGGTGGCGTGAGACAGCGTCGGGGCCCATGACGAGAGACTCGCTCACCGGCAATTTGTTCTTCCGTGAGCTGGTCGGCCTGCAAAAAAGCACACGGAGAGATAAGCCATGTAAGCCCCCATGCACCTATGGCTACGTCTACGATTCAACTCCGTAATCAAATCACCCCCGCCGCCCCCCCCCCCCCCCCTGCCCCCACGTTTGTACCGTCTCATTGCCATCCCATTGCATTTCGTGCCAGACGTTTTAGTCCGCCGCCATTTGTGAAATATACAGCTGTTAGCGAGCACCTATTAAGGCCGAGATGGAATGGCACACACGCACGCACACACACGCTGGAGTGGTGTGGCCAACGCATAATGATGTCAAGAAATTGTCCTTTTTAGAACCAGCCATTTTTTTTAGTTGGTAAAAAAATAAAATATCAACATTTCAAGAGCCACAATGCACTCCGTGGTGAACACGAGAACGGTGGTTCTGAAATAAATGTCACGAAGGAGTCCTGGAAAGAGCCGCATGAGACTCCGCAGCCGCAGGTTGCCGACCCCTGTGGTAGAGAGAACACCCCACCAGGCGCCACGGACTCTCGTCGGAATATCAAAAAACAGAGGTGGAAGACAACTTTACAGAACTACTTTTGAATGAACTTCAAAACAACTCAATGCCAATACGATGAACACACCTTAAATATATCCCCCCCCCACCACCCCCCTGCTAAGAGTGTTCGTCACGTGTCCATTCAATTACTTAAAATGTTCAGAGTTCTTAAAAACCCAACAAGGCTCAAGTATTGCGATTGGGTTTTTTTGTGTGCCATTAATGGTGACTGGTCTGAGCCCACAAACCTCACTACACCTTGAGGATCCGGTTTAAATCTTGGTTGACATCGCGGGCGACTGAAAACCAGATTCAAACCCAGGATCTCAGCTGTGTCGGCTCACTGTATTGTTCCAACATGGCCATTATGAACACCGCAAGACAGGACTCAAACTTAGGGTGTCTGAGCAGTCTCTGCTTAATGTATGCCTACGATATGGGCATTATGGAACACCCTCACAACCAGAGCCAGAGCTATAACCCAGGTTCTCAGCAGGTTCTGATGCGATGTTCCCATCTCCAAACATGGCTATTATGACCCCCCCCCTCCCCGATACTGCCGACAAAGCCATTACCGAACCCGCCGATCCAGGGATTTCAACCGAGGGTTTGAAAGCCTGCGTCCGAGCAGCGCCGGCTTACTGCGTTTCCAACAGCCTGACGTGGCCATCACGAACCGGGGCATTGCGAAGTCACCACCTCCCCCCCCCCTCTGAAAACTAACTCGCACCGCTCTGTCGCCAGAACCCACCAGACCGGACAAACCCAGCGCCAATAGCTCCGTCTCAGTGGAGCGAGTAGTGGGGGGGGGGGGGGAGCTACTCCAGTTTCACATCTTCAATTTTACCTGATGCTCATTTCAGGCCGAGTCTACCTAGAGGGAGGCGTCAGCCTGGGTGCACATAGAATCCACTTTGCCAAGGTTTTTTTTTATTTTGGTAAAAAAATGGAATAGCGAGAGGTTGCCTGATCGCATCAGATCGTCTCATGTTTAAAGGCGCACAAAGGTAGTGGTGGAAATTCCGCATTGCTGTGTCGGGGGCGAGTCTATCCAGAGGGCGAACGGTGATGACTTAATTCCCCAAAGTGGTACCCAATTTTATCGCCCCCCTTCCCCCAATTAGGGATGATGGGCTGTCGATTGCCAGCCGCTCGCTCTACCACTGACCACCCACCTGGTCGGCTATCGTGGTGTCATAAAGTAACGATCCACTGCTGGATGAGGGCCCTGGGTTGTTTTCTGACGATACTTCACCACGCGGCGGTAGATTATTTATTACAAAATAATGCGAATAATTATCATTAATTATTATTGCTATTATCAAATACAAACAGTACTAGATGTAATCAATGACTCAAAACCTCATTGGAAGTGGACTTTCTGTGTACACGTGGCCTGCACCCCCGCCCCCCTCCCCTAGGTCGACTCAGCCTCAAAACGAATACCAGCTGGGCGGTGTGTACACAATGGCACCACTGGGGAGAACAAAAGGGGTCAAGGGGGCTCGGTCAACAACCTATTTGCTGTACTGCAGCCTTCGAGGCAACCACCATGATCAGTGGACCCGGTGCGCGCCGGTTCCATTAGGACGTCACGGGCGGATGGGGGCCGAGGGGGGGGCCGAGGGGGGGGGGGGCCGGGTAGGGGGTGGGGGGGTGTGCCCAGGTAAATGTTCCACTCGCACGTCCGGCAGGGCCGGTCGCCTTTGTCTCCCCTGTGTTCATGCCGACATGTTGACATACGTCAACACGCGCGCAAGCACACACACACCAGGTGTGTACAACATTCGACAGACAATGTGCGCACAGACAAAAGATCCCCCGTGTAGCCTTAAGAGACTGTTGGGGCAAGTGCTGTTAGCGAGCACCTATGAAGGCCGGCACGGCACACCCAAGGGGGTTGATGGGGTGTGGTCGGAAGCGCCACGCGCGGCCGCCTTTGTCTCTGAAGTGCTGAAGTTTAGCGACAAGCAACTGGTTGATCATTTGGGGGTGAGTGGACCTGGGGGGGGGGGGGGGGGGGGGGAAGGCCCTGTAACAGGTTCAGATATCACTTGCGAACGACTTTTTTTTTTGGTGCGAAATTGATTAACAAGACCTTGGTCATGCTGTATCTTTCGCACGTGATAAATAATGTACACGCCGGATGTTATGCGCCCTGTGTACGAGGTGGGTTTTCTCCGGTTTCCTCCCACACATATGTACGTTGAACTTCTTTCACACCGTACGTAGCCAGCCGTGCTAAACCGGAGGTGCAAGTCCAACCCTCCTTTTTATTTAAACAAAAAAGGGAACGAGCGAGCAACTTTGTACCCGTGGCGGCAGTTGGTGACGGCTGCACCACCACGTGGTAAAGGGACAGGAGTAGAGCCACGGATGCCACGTGATGATGGGGAAAGAGAGCGCGAAACGGGAGAGAAGAGACAAGGAGAGAGATTCCTGGGGGAATCAGAGGAAGGGGATGGAGAAGGGACGGAGAGGAACGGGAGCAAGAGGGCTCATGAGGAGAGGCGCATCATGGCCTCGACACTGTTGATGCTGCAGAGTGTGTTTTCTCAGTGGGCGGGGAGAGGGGAGGGATTCAGAGTAGGGGTGGGGGCACACACCCAAGTCACGTGGTTTACGGGAGGCTTGAGAAGATTAAACAAACACGGTCTAGATATTTGGACAAAACGTCTCACTGGAGCAGCACCCTCCTGAAAATGAGTCGGTGAGCCTCTCCAAGATGATCTTTTTTTTTACTTAACATTTTTAAAATTCGAAGACCACCTTCGTCAACAACTCTCCACCGCAAAGCTTTCCCGCCGCTCACCCCATCCTGCCCCACGATATGCAGCGTGGCACTCGCCACGCTGCATATAATGTCGGAGGAACGCTGCAACGTTGCCTTTTTTGCCAAAAACAAAAGTCGAGGGAGTTGGGGGGGGGGGGGTGCGACCCGAGTTCAATTCCGGCTCACGGCCACCAAGACCAGTGGTGAAGACCGAGCTGGAAACATCGCGCGGTCGACCTGACCCTGATCACAGCTGGAAGCTGTACACCCCCCCCCCCCCCTTATTCCCCCGCCCCCATCCCCTTATTCCCCAGCCTCTACCCCATACAGACGAGGCTACACTTACTCACCCACCACCACCCCCCACCACCCCCACACCTCCTCCCCTTCGTCCGCAGTAGCAGACCGGCCTCGGCTGGTACCCGGGGAGGGAGTCGCAAGCCGGGACCACGCCTGGGCGATCGGTTGCGCGCAACCGATTTCACTTTACTCGCGGGGACGTCTCTGCAACCGGTTGCCGCTCACGGTAGAGAGACGAGAGGCTTGTGGCAACGCGTTTCATGACCGCGTGACGACTAAAACCAAACATTTGTTTGTATTTTACCAGGTAAGGCCCCACTTATCTATAATACAGGGCGTTTCAAAAAGATGGACCCAATTTCAAAACAGTTATATTTCACGATGGCAACATGTTACAATCACACAAAAAGTTACCAACGGTTTAATGAGTTATCAAGTTTTACTAACCATTTCATAAACGCTCTAGGAGCGACCTGGCCATTACAAATGATAGCTCAACGTGGAAATTGATAGCAGCAGCCAAATACTCTAAACGCGTGATGTTGATTTTAAATGTGGAGGGCAAAACCCGGAGGACACGGAAATAAAAAAAAATCCACGCGACCACGGGGAGAGAGAAAGAGAGAGAGACACAGACACGCACACTCCAAATATACAGCAGGCAGGCGCCAGGGTCGGGATCGAACCTACGACGTCCAGCACACACAGGCGATATAGTTAACATCTCGCCACCGTAGCGACGTCGTCAACGAGGCTATCGTGGCGATGTTGAATGTGCCGTGACTCGTGCCCTTATTGCGCAACAACTCGTTCAGATATTAAAGAATTAAAGCTTTCGCGACTGCACAAATTACTCATTGTTTTTTTTTTCGGTAAAGTCACGTATGTAGAAATACCACAGAATTATATTGAAATAAATCAATCACGACGTTTCGACCGCAACACAAGCGATCTTCATCAGGTGTAAAAAAAACAAATAGCGAGGGAGCATATAGGGTGACATCAACGCAGCACAGAGAGAGCGTTAAACTTGCACGGAGGTAGATACAACAAGAAGATGAGAGACGAGAATTCAACAAACCTAAGAAAAAATTATGTGATGCAAAACCAGTCAGGCCAACAACACAGACACTTGCGTGGTGGACCACGAATTTCAGAAGAGTGTTGAATTTCGTGTTCATCCTCTGGGTTGAAAATACCAGCATAGACAGAGTGAACAAATACGAGGTACACGGTTGGCTACGTACGGTGCGAAAACAGTTCAACGGGCATGCATACGAAGTAACTTCCTGCTTAAATGAGCATTGAGGCATTCATTGCTGCTCATCTCCCCTTTGTAGCCCCGAGCCAGTGGTTGAAATTCCACATTCCTAGGACGGGATCGATTATTTATATACGACAATTACTGTAGACTCCCCCACCCCCCCCCCCCCCTCTCTACATAAATGGCGACGAGGCAGTTCTAATTTAATTTAATCCCGAGAGATGGCGATTCAGCCCCGAGAAGTTTACCAACACAGTTACGAATATAGACTGGTGGGGGCGGTGGGTGGTTTGGAAGCTTCCTAGACCCGAGTGGTCACTGTGAAACGGGTGCCACCGCTGGTAAATATTCCTGCTCCACATCTCGACCGATGCATTTCCCTCGCCACCCTTCTCATCACCACTACGTAGGCCCCCTAATCCCACCCCTCCCACGCCCGAGCCCCCCACCCTCACGTTGCCCCCAATTCCTGGATCTCGACAACTCTCTGCGGCTAATCACCTTAGCACATTGTGTACAGACATCCCCTCCCCCCACCATCCCCACCCCCATCTCCCACGATCTCTATCCCTACTCCCTCCCCCCATTATCTCCGCTCTCTCCATCGCCCCCCCCCCCAGCTATCTCCATCCCTACCTCCACTCCCACAATCTCCATCCCGACCTCCACTCCCACCATCTCCGCTCTCTCAATCCTCCACCCCCACTATCTCCATCCCTACCCCCCTACTATATCATCTCTCCATCCCTACCTCCGATCCCACACCATCTGCCGCGGTTGAGCGTTAATTTCGTCTATTCTGTGTAACTCCGCGAGAACTTGAGAGACCAGGATGAGCCTCATTTGCAATATTGACTTGGGTCTTTAGTCTGCTGGGACGATTGCTATGCACTATCCCAATTGAGAAATTTGCGGGTAAACCTTCATAATGCGGCAATTTTGGACCCCTGAGGCCCGCACACAGGAGAGCTTTGGAGTCCATTGAATGAAGCAGACGCCGCGTAGTATTACGGTTCACATACTGGCAGTATTAATCAGGGCGGCCGCTGGCATCGAACTGCGAACCTCTGCGACAAGTGGCCAACGCGCTGCCGCAAAGCCGCGTCACTGCCCTATGCAGGTAGCAATCTGTGTCCACCCACCACACCTCATCCACCCACCCACCTCATGAACCCACCTCACCTCACCCACCCCTTCCACCCAACCTCATCCACCCACCCACCTCATCTACCCATCCACCCACCCAGCCCACTCCACCCACCCCACCTCACCCCACCTCATCCACCGATCCATCCCACCCCACCCACGAAATGAATTTAATGAACAGTGTGACCAGAACAGCACTATGCATTAGAGATACCATGAGCAGGATTTTGCGTTTCTTAGATGACCATTTCGATTCCATTAGCGCGGCGCTGCGGTACACAGTAAATCCACCGACCCGAGTTCGATTCCCGGCCACGGCTAACATCAGTGGCCGGTGAATATACGAACCGGTATCCGGATAACGCCTCTCCCCCTACCCACTTTACCAACCAAGCCGCACTGACCAGAGTGGTGAAGTATGGTCAAACAACCCCAATGATCGACGCGACGTGTAGGGGGGGGGAGGTCTTGTCTGGAATTGCAGTCGGTCAATGGGCCGAAACGTTTATTGATGTATTTTAAACGTGGAGACACAGGGGGCGGGCCTCTGCTGATATTCGCGATTTACCCACGAGCAGGTGATGCCAGGTAAATAGGAATACAACATTCACGCCGTCTTTGCACAACTCTCACTTCTGTGCGTTCAAGGGACCCGTCATAAAGTCGCGCTGCTCCAACAATAGGTGCCGGGGTGGCGCTCGTCTCCGGTGGTGGGAATTCCACGTTCCTATGACGGGGATCCGTCATTTGTTTTTTTTTACTTTCATGGCTGCGTTAACAGTGGTGCAGAAAGCACAAATTACAGGAAAACTAAAACTTACATTTGTTTACACCACAATAATTATCTGTGATATGAATAAGGGTCATTGCCCGAAACGTCGCCTGATTTATCTTCATATATAATTGGTTGTTCCTTGTAGGGCGGTTTTTTAACTAAGGAGTTGATTTTTCTTAACGAAACGGGGGGGCTGGAGGGGACTCTATTTATAGGCACCCCACTGATTTATAGCGACCCATTTTACTCTCAACGCTTGCGCCCAATTCTCTCCGGAGAGCGGGATGACCAGAGATGGATGAGGAGACGGCGTGAAGCAAGGTTGTGAATTAAACATCCCCGGTGATTTACATCACCTCACCTCACTCACTCTCGCTCGCTCGCTCTCTGGCCCTTCTAGAACATTATTAGGAAATAGCATCAAGACTCTTGACGAGACACGCAGGCGACAGGGATAGGGGCTTGGAGGGCGATATGGAAGGAGGCACGGAAAATAAGGTGGAGATGGGGAGGGAAGGGGGAGATAGACGGGAAGATATGAGGTGGTTGATGGAGGGAGATATGTAGGGAGCGAGAGGAAGATGGGAGACGAAGTTAAATAGGGTTTGATCTGTAATTTAGACCTCTTTTGGTATCTGTATGTATGGTTCACCGTGTATACTCCTCTGTATAAAGAACCCACGTGGTTTTTACGAGTTTTATCAAATAGTAATCTATGCCTCGCATATTCTATCGTTAGTTATGGTAATCATCGGTCGTTTGCCAATCCACTGCTGGATGAATGCCTCCCCTCACCCAGCGCTGTGTCGGTCATGGGTCTTGGTTTGACCATACTTCACCACCCCGATCGCTGTGTTGGTTCGAGGCTGAAGGGCTGGTGGCGAGTTAACACGAGAGCCGTGGCTGGAAATCCAACTCGGGTTGCCAGGTTCTTAGCGCAGTGCGCTAACCACTCGACCCCCTGTACTGTAGCACATCCTTGTACAGTTATATACTGTAGTGTGAGCTTGTGCCAGCAGAACGAGTCGTCCTGTGGTCAGGTTACGCGACTCAACCCATCATCATCATTAATCATCCAACCGAGGTCGATAAAATGAGTACCATTTTATGGGGAGAGGTGGTGGGGGGGGGGAAGTAAAAAAAAGGGGTAACTTTGCGGACAAACTAGAATCAAGTTTCATTTGTACCTCTCACACTTATACGAGTCCATAGAGGACGTCCGCCGCGGAGATGGAACGATTCCATCCAGGGGCGGAGCCAGGGGGTTGACAGGGTAGACAATTGTCACCCCCGAAAAAATAAAAAATCGAAAAGCTGAAACATTCTGCGTATAAGTGTACGACACTCGGTCTGGCGGACTTAGTGCAACTGCATCGTCAGAGTGTGTCGCCAACCGATGGCGTCTAGTTCAACAGCCTGACTCTCTAAATCATTCTTGAAATTAAAATTTGTTGAATGTCACCCCGGGCTGAAAATCCTGGCTCCGCCCCTGATTCCATCCGTTCACACGAATGCAGGTGCTATGTGGAGCATCACTCCGCAACATCCTTGCGGTGATCTTCATCCAGCAGTGGTTTGACCATGGCTCGTGAACGATGATGAGCTTATCTGTTTTATATATATAGACGCACACGTGCATTATAACACGTGTGATTTATAATCGTATGTAAGCAAGTACATCTCGATTACCAGGCACTCGCCACACGAACTGTGGAATTTCCAGCGCGGCGCGAAATGATGAATTGCACTCACCATGGCGTCTTCGCGAGGGGGGCGGCTGCGGCACGGAAGAGTTCACGGGCCGGAGACGGCGGGACGCGGTCTTTAAGGGAAGGCGCTCGCTCCTCTCCCCCTCGCACTCTGCGCTGTCTCACCCCGCCCTAGCCACTCACTCCTCCCTTCCTACACCTACCTGCCCCCACCCACTCTCTCTCATCGCACTCACGCCTCCACCCCCCCCCCCGCCCGTTCACCCCCTCCCCCCGCCCGCTCACCCCCTCCCCCACGCTCGCTAACCCCCCCCCGCCCGCTCACCCCCCCCCGCCCGCTCACCCCCCCCCCCGCCCGCTCACCCCCCCCCCCGCCCGCTCACCCCCCCCCGCCCGCTCACCCCCCCCCCGCCCGCTCACCCCCCCCCCCGCCCGCTCACCCCCCCCGCCCACTCACCCCCCCCGCCCGCTCACCCCCCCCGCCCACTCACCCCCCCCGCCCGCTCACCCCCCCCGCCCGCTCACTTCGCCCTCTCCCCACCCTCCCACTATCTCCCCCCCTTCTCTCTTTCCCACTCCATCTCGCTCCCCTCCTCTCTATTCCCCTACCCTCTCTCGCTCCCCAATTTGCTCCTCCCTCCCATTCTCCTTCCCCCAATTTTCCCTCCCCCCACCTCCCTCCATCACTCAACCTCTCCACTCCCCCTCTCTTAATTCCCTAACCTTAGCTACCCCCCACCTAATCCCTCTCACACTCTCCTCTCTCACTCGAGCCGTCTCTTCCCTCGCATCTCTCTTTCTCTACCTGCCTCTCTCTCAATCCCTGCCCACCCTCTCTCCCTATCGCTCTCCCTCTGTCTTCTTACATCTCTCACATTACATCGACTCGTATCTCTCTGACCTCGCTATTGATTTTACATGAAGACGGACCCTTACCCGAAACGTCTCCCATTGCATAGTTTTCCTTTGAAGGCCACACACAGTTGTGTTATTGACGGGCGTGTTGAGTGTTGCTGTTTGTCCGTGTGCACCACTGCCAACGCAGCAGCGGTAGCAGCAGCATTACCAGCCACCAAAGTGTCTCGTATAAGAGTATTCTCACACGCTATGATGTATCAACAGTGGCTGTCCACCGGATTTACTGCACCCCCCCCCCCCCACATACACATAGGAATGTAGAATTTCCACCACTGGATGACTATCGATCCCCCTCCTCAGCTTCCCCCTCTACCCATCTTCCCCTCTCCATCTCCCCGCGTTCTCTGCCTCTCTCTCTCTCGCCTCAATGCCCCCCCCCCACCGTGTGTATGAATCGAGTTATAATGATAAGTTTAGCGCGTGGCTCAACTTTCCAATTGCGTTTCAAGGAGTCGGCACAAAGCGTGCCCGCGCGTCAAGCATCTCAACCCTGGTCAGGACACGGAAGTCAGGATAAAAAAAGAAAATAGATTGTCACATTTTGCAAAGCGTTATAAAATAAACGCCCAAATTCCACCACCGTCATCAACATCATCTCCATCGGCAGGCAGTGGTGGAAATTCCACAAAATGACGACGGCGATAACCATGTGTAACTCTATGGATCTATATGTAACTCTATGTAACTCTATGGATCTCTGATGGATCTCTGTGTGTAACTGGTCCGTGTAACAGGGCGGCTTAGCTCAATAGGGCCTTGACAGTTGCCGTAATAAATTTCGTAAATAAAAAATAAAGTGAATAAAAAAAATTTAAAGAATAAAAACAAAAAGTTTAAATTCGATTAACTTTATTTTTTTATCTACTTGACTTTACCGAAAGAACCAATGAATATTAATCCCTGCAGTCACGAAAGTTTTAAGTCAAAATGTAATAAAGTCCGCTTCTAAAAAAATAAAGACGCGGTCTTAATTGAACAACCAGCGATTGTGACGAAAGCGCGCCAAGCCACAGGCAGAGACGCACGCGTTTACATTACACCGAGAGACGCAGAGAGAGGAGCCCGTGGAGCTGACATAATAAACACACGCAGGCGGAATGTGTCATCATTCAAAGTGTTAATAAACGAAAGTGGGTCCGGGGCAAGTGCCGGCGCCGGTTGAGAGGGAGGGGGGGGGGAGTGCGTTGAGGGGGGGTGGACGTGGACGCGGGGGGGGGGGGGGTGGACGCGGGGGGTGGTGGACGTGGGGGGGGGGGGGTCGAGTATAATAACGGAGTGGCGGACAAGGGACGGAACGCGTCCGAGGGAGACGTCCTTTCGTGAAAATGGTGCCCCGACGTGGGCATCTGTGAAAAGAAGAGCTTCATAGCTCATCGGATTGCTCCAGTGTAAATACATATTCTGATTTTGATCGCAGGATCGTGAGAGGTAGCGACGGTGTTTTTGGGAGGTCTTCATCTAGTAGTGGACAATGGTTGATGATGATAGCGATTACTAACTTATCAGGGTCATCACGATCCAATGCCATCGCCTCCTTCCCTCTGCTAGATCTCGCAGCTGCCTCTGCTGCTGCTGGTGTTTGCGTGAAGGGCAGCCGTTTCTCAAGGGTTCTCGATGGCCACCTCACTCAACTCCATATTCCTCCACCGAGATGGGCCCCATCCGATTAGCCCCATCCGATTGGCTGCGGGGCATCTGCAATGCGGCGCGGTGACGTCACAGCCGTTACCTGGGCGCAGGTGGGAGTCACGTACGATTTGGCGCGCGCGTCTCACCTACCCTACCCCTCCCCTCGGTCCCCCTCATTTCCCACACCTAAGCACCCAATCGCCCCCCTCGTGCCCCTTCCTTTCCTCCGTTCCACCCCTCCCCACCAACCATCCGCTCGTTCCCTCCTCCTCGCCTCCCCTATCAACCATCACCCCCCCGCCCTGCTCCCTGTTGACTCAGCCCGCCTGCCTGCCCCGTTCATTCACCTGCGCCAGTAAAACGCCTGTACGTACCACGTGACAGCCCCTCTTAATGGCCATCCACCTCATTCAGCTGCTTTTCCATAGTCACCAAACCACCTTCTACAACATGATCATCATCGTCGGCTCCTCCATCACCTATTCACCTCGTCCTTCATCAGCATCACCTCTTCCATCATCATCACCTCCTCATCATTATCACCTCCTCCACCATCACCTATCCACCTCATCCTGCATCACCACCACCTCCTCCACCATCGCCTTATCCACCAACTCCTCCCTTGCCCCGGGGACTTTTTGCGTGCCGTGTTTGGTAGCTCTCGGGAGAGGTTCGGCTAATTTTACCTGGGCGCGTCACCGCACCCACGCGTCATTTTCCACACGCACCTCCTCCACCACCACCTCCTCCTCCACCACCACCTCCTCCGCTACTCACGGCGCGATACCTGAGTAGAGGTATCCACTTCTGTGATCACAACAACATAAAATCCCCGGGACGGTATCGCGCACGGAAAGGAGAAATAAATATCTCACAATACCTCCAGAACGTTGTATTTGGTGATGTTGGCCGTGTTGCCCAAGCACAACACATAATTAATCAACTCAACACATTTACCAATAACACTACGTATGTGTAGCCTTAACAGGAACAAAATACACGTGATACGTGACGTTTCGGGCAATGGCCCTTCTTCATCGTACAACAAAAGATGACGACTTTTTTGTACTATTAAGAAGGTTCATAGCCCGAAACGTCGAGTTTTTTGTTGCCCGTAAATACGACGTCTTGAGGGATCAAGGCCTCCCGGTGCTCAAATAAGCATCGTGGCGGCGGATTCTGTTGACAGCCCTGCAGAGCCGGTGATGGAAATTCCACATTCGTATGACGGAGGCGCGTCCGTCCACAGGACAACCACTGTCGACATCCCAACAAGCGGCAGTGTCCCGGTTAGCGCGCTGCACTACGAAGCCACCCACACGAGGTTCGATCTCCGATCACGGCCTCCAAGACCGGTCTGGGGCCTCACCCCTAGGTCGACTCAGACTCGAATGAGTACCCGGTGTGATGTGTAAACATCGCCACTGGGGAGACAAAGGCGCTCGGGCGTGGTGTTGGCCACACCACTCCCTCGTGCGCCGTTCCGGCCTTAATAGCTGCTCGCTAACAGCACTTGTCCCAACATCATATGCAAGGTACATGGGAAGAATTTTGTTCACAAAATGTTGAATTTGTATAGAGAGAGTATCGCTACTATTGTGTTGAGGTACAAGCGCAGGTGAGTTAACCTGTGCCACGTGACACTGGGGGCTGAACGCGGCCCGATAGCGCCACCACGTGGTTCATATAGAGCCAAAGATCCCCCGGAAAGAATTTAACCTTCGACCGCTGTGGCCTTAACAGGAAGAAAAAAATAAAATTAGTCGACGTTTCGGGCAATGACCCTTCGTCGGAGCACATCAAAGATGCGTTATTGACGAATGCGATGTGAAGTAGAGTCATTGCCCGAAACGTCGCTTGTTGTATATGTGTTTTTCTTACAAGGCCACAGTGTTGTTGACGAATGTGTTTGATATAGTCCCTCTCTACAGGTGTGGTCCAGATGTCGCGATTTGTGATCTCCATTTAATTATCTAAAAGTTAATATTGTTGTTATTTTTAATATGCAAATACAAATTTTGGGGTAAATTTATTGGAGGGTGGGGGGGGGGTTACAAGACACTGGACCACCCTGTAACATCACTTCTCGTCTAAATCCACTTGAAAAGGGCACCCCAAGTTTCAGCTATCCCCGTCTGGTGCCACAAGGTGGCTAAGCAGCAACGCTGGCCTGCAGACTACGGTATTATGCGATGAGAGAATCGGTTATTAGATGTCTGCCAGCCAGGGTGGCCGGGGTGATTATTGCTTTTATATAATCCCAATTGCAGCTTAATGATGAATCTGTGTTGTGTAAATTGACTTGGGGGCCGACCATAAATGACGTCACGCACCTAGGCGGGGGGGGGGGGGTCAGACATTTGTGACGATGCGTGACGAGGGGTGGGGGGTTTGAGAAATGTGACGTCACATCAAAATGCGCAACTTTAAATATAGACCACACGTTCTATTAATTAAATATACTTTTTGATTAATGTTTTCTCCTACAACATCAGAGTGCAGCGCCACATTAAATACGCACAATGACAATAGTTTAAAGCGATTTGAAGCATGTTTTATTTTAGGGGGGGGAGGGCAGAGCTTTGTGACGTCACATTTGAGGGGATGGGTCTGACTTTTTGTGACGCC